TTGTACTGTTGTGGGCATCAAATTGTGCCGTTTTGTAAACTGTCATGAGTCGCCCTCGGGCTGAGAATGGCGGTATAGAAGCGTAGTAAATAAATAAATAACGATGTTCCATGGAAACCAGGAGGATTTTTTCAACAGACTGATCACACAGGATGAAAGCTGGGCCCATCATTCTGATCCTGAGACTAAAGTCCAGTCAATACAATGGAAGTATCCTGACTCACCACCTCCAAAGAAGGCACATGCCCAACTCTCATCAGGCAAGGTCATGCTCACCATATTTTGGGACCAGCATGGAGTCAGATTGATGGATTTTCTAGCAAAGGGGACCAGGATCACTGGCGCATACTGTGTTTCACTGCTGCAGGAATTGCGGGAGGCCATCCAAACCAAGAGACAATGTGGCATGCTCACTGCAAGACAATGCACCAGTTCCCAACTCACCTGTTGTCCAAATGCTTCAGTGGTTTTGACATTCTCCCACACACCCCTTACTCACCCAACCTCACACCATCAGACTTCCACCTCTTTCTAACAAGGAAGTTATTTTTGAAGGACAAGCCTTTCTCAGGCGATGAGACACTGATTTCCGAAGTCACAACATGGCTTTTGGAGCAACCTATTGACTTCAACAAGTGAGGTGTTTACAGTTGCTTAAAAAGTTAGGAGAAGTGGGTGTCCCGAGGTGGAACCGATGGAAAGAAGAAGGACTCAGAACTGGGCCAAGTTTCAGTGCTTTCAGTCCACAGGAAGGGGGTCAGGGGAAATCTTTAATGAATGCCCCTCGTACATAGATGCCAGTAAAAGGCAAAGTCCCTAGTCTTTACACAACTAATATTTGCTCACTGTTCTTAAGGGTAGTATCTAAAAAAGTAATTATTTCTGAACCAACCGATCATTCTTAATATACTCATATATGTTTATGCACTTTTGTGAAAATGCTGTTTTGAGGAGCCTGATGGAAGAGATGTTTCTTTAAGGTACCTTCACACTTAATAAAATCTGCCACTTACTGTTAGCTGTGTCGTCCTTAAACATTTTTGGAAAATTTGGAAAGTATACATTCTTTATTACATTGCTGTAATATGGTGTGATGAATTCCCTACCTGTTAGGCTAGGAAAACCTCAGAAAAGTAGGCCCAGGAAGTTCAGCACCCATTTTAGAAGGGTGCCTGGGGACATCCACCTTAGAATCTCATTTCCTGAAGGGGGTGTGCTTAGGAGCAGCTTGGAGGGAAATGAGGGGAGTTTGTGATTGGCTGGGAGAGAGTGGGTGGAACTTAACTTGAGAAAAGGGAAAAAATGACTTTTAGGGGATGTTTTAAAATCTGACAGCTCAGATTGACTCTGGGTGTCAAAGAAGAAAGAGTTAGAGTTTGGTGTGAAGAATAGAAGAGTTAGGGAAGCCTGAAGTTGGTCGATTAGCCAGCAGTTAGTTAGTGAGAGGATTTACAGCTATTGGGAAGGATAGCTGGTGAAGTGGAGAGATAGATCCAGGAAAGGACTATGAGGGAGTTGAGGATTACTAGGCAGAGAGGAATCCTGTCGGTAATTTCTGAAGGGAGAGAGGAGTGTTATGTGCAACTAAGTTTTGAACTGCTTAAAGAAACCATATGCTTTTATGTCAATATTTCAAAGCAGCTAAGCTTAATGCCTGTTTTGTTCAAGTTCTCTCAAATAAACAACATTGTTATTTGTTCACAACATCTGCCTCACGTGTGCCTCTGTGTGAGAAGTTTTAAAGCAGTTTACTGAAGAAATCAAAGGTTAAATAGTGGTAGCGTATATTTTGAAAAATAATCTCTTCATTGTTACTTCAGAGCACAAAGCCTGAGTGCGAATCCAGCACATTCTAGCCTAAAGATACCTCCAATCAAGCCAAAGGCTAAGCATTTCTTTTAAGTGTGGTGGTAGCCAGTGTTCTTTCAAAAGGTTTTCTGGACAGAAGATTGTTCCAGTTTATTACAGTTTTTGATTTTTAATTAAAGAAGCCACATTCCATTACAATTGTCCCTATCCTTTATACTTCGTGGCAAGCGCAGGGATTTATTCTTAAATAGTCCTCTATCTATTATATTTGGTGGCAAGCGCTGGGATTTACAATTAAACAGTCCTCTACCTTTTACATTTTGGTTTGCAGCGTTTGGGATTTATTGCCAAATAAGTCTCTATCCATTATATATGGCATAAAAAAAAACAAAATAAAGTTGAAAAGTGTCTGTTCAATGCCTTGGCAGAAGGTTAAAGTTTAAAACAATAGAATGGCTTTAACAATATTCCTATTGCCACCTTCTGTTGGTTAGAAGTTAATACACATTACTAAAATTGAGTATCATTAAGCATTCTGTGTTCCACGAGTTTGTCCAACTTTAGAATTCAAGGTAGTAAAAGGGAAAACTATGGGATCATCTGCAAATAAAGTGTGTTATTGTTCATTCCTTCAGTTGTTTCTGACTCTTTGTGACCTCCTGGAGCAGCCCAGGCCAGGGCTTCCTGTGGGCCGTGGATTCCATTACTTACTTACTTAGGAGATCCCTCGTTGGACGAGTAGGACAGTCTTCCATGATCTGTATTCTTGTGGATCCGTAGGTGGCTGGGGAGCCCTATTCTTGACCTGCATCTTCTCCCACAGTGAGGGCATTGGTTTCCAGGTGGAAGGCGGTCTCGGTCGGGGTTGGCTTGGCGTGCCTTCCCCCTGGCACGTTTCTCTCTTTCACCCTCCATTAGTGCCTCTTCAAATTCTACAGCACTGCTGGTCACAGCTGATCTCCAGCTGGAGCGCTCAAGGGCCACGGCTTCCCAGTTCTCAGTGTCTATGCCAAAGATTTTAACATTGGCTTTGAGCCCATATTTAAATCTCTTTTCCTGCCCACCAACATTCTGTTTTCCTTTCTGGAATTCGGAGTAGAGCAACTGCTTTGGGAGACGGTGGTTGGGCATCCGGACAACGTGGCCGGTCCACCGGAGTTGATGGCGGAGGACCATCGCTTCAATGGTGGTGGTCTTTGCTTCTTCCAGCATGGTGACGTTTGTCCGCTTGTGTTCCCAAGAGATTTGCAGGAATTTCTGATGGAATCGTTCCAGGAGTTGCATGTGACGTCTTTAGACAGTCCACGTTTCGCAGGCATATAGCAGGGTTGGGAGGACAATAGCTTTATAGACAAGTACCTTGGTATCCCTACGGATGTCCCGGTCCTCAAACACTCTCTGCTTCAATGTATTGTCGAAGGCTTTCATGGCTGGAATCACTAGTTTCTTGTGGGTTTTTTCGGGCTATAGGGCCATGTTCTAGAGGCATTTCTCCTGACGTTTCGCCTGCATCTATGGCACGCATGCTTCATTTGGAAAAATGCTTCATTTGGAAAAATGCTGCACTTGCAGAGCTCAGGCGGTGTTGTATTTCAGTGTCGATGTTGACTTTGGTGGAGAGGTCGCTGCCAAGGTAGCAGAAATGGTCAACATTTTCTAATGTTACACCATTAATCTGTATCTCTGGCATTGGAGAGGGGTTTGCTGGTGTCTGCTGGAACAGCACTTTGGTTTTCTCGATGTTCAATTAGAGACCGAGCTTCTCGTATGCTTCTGTGAAGGTGTTTAGAGTGGCTTGTATTTATTTATTATTATTTATTTAAAAGTTTTATATACCGACCTTCTCACCTCTCTTGAGGGACTCAGACTGGTTTCCAACCATAATATCACATACAATCAATAAAACATCATAATTCATATTACAATAAAACCTTAATTGTATTCAATAACTATAATGGCCAGTCGTCACACTAAAATTGTTGTTCATCATCCTCCATCCATATCTCAGGGTATTGGCTCACTCGTCGAATGCCTGTCTCCATAACCACGTCTTCACCTGTTTCCTAAACGTCAGGATAGAAGGGGCGGTTCTGATCTCCAGTGGGAGAGAATTCCAGAGTCAAGGGGCCACCACCGAGAAGGCCCTGTCCCTTGTCCCCACCAGACGCGCTTGCGAGGCTGGTAGGACCGAGAGCAGGGCCTCTCCAGACGATCTTGATGGTTTATAGGGAAGAATACGTTCGGAGAGGTAAACAGGGCCGGAGTCGTTTAGGGCTTTATTTATTTATTTATTTATTTACGACATTTATATGCCGCCCTTCTCACCCCGAAGGGGACTCAGAGCGGCTTACAAGGTATATATACATATACTATTAATATATTAATAGTATACATATAATATATTATTAACATAGTACATTATTAGTTTTAAATATTGCTATATTGCACTATATCAATTATACCGTAATATTATAGGTTAACACCAGCACTTTGAATTGTGCTCGGAAGCTAATTGGCAGCCAGTGGAGCTGGTGTAACAGCGGAGTGGTGTGCTTCCTGTACCCAGCACCCGTTAGTAGTCTGGCTGCCGAGCGTTGGACTAGCTGCAGCTTCCGAGCAGTCTTCAGAGGCAACCCCACATAGAGAGCGTTGCAGTAGTCTAAACGGGATGTAACCAAAGCATGGACCACGGTGGTCAAGTCAGACTTCCCAAGGTACGGGCGCATTCTTCTGAATGTGCACAGAAGACATTGTCATCAGCATACTAGAGTTCTATAACAGACGTTGTTGTAATCTTGGTTTTGGCTTTCAGTCTGCTGAGGTTAAACAGCTTGCCATCTGTCCAATAGATTATTTCCAATTCCATACCATTGAGCCATGACAGTGCCTGCACTGGAATTTTGTATCCTTAGGGATATAAAAGTTAGAGGGAAGTTTGCAGACTTTCTTTCGGGCAGAGCAGAGGCCACCCTCAGAGGGGTCCTGACTGTCTCCAGGGCGCCCTTGAGTGGGTCATAAGGCGAGGTTCAAGCTTGGTGGAGAAGGAAAGCGGCGAACTAACCTAGTGGCTGCCGCGGCAGGAAGATAGGCGCCCTCTTCCGCCAATCGGGGCGCAAGTATGGTGACGTGATACCAATGGAAGGCGGCGCTGAGCCGTGGGTGGGCGTGGCCTAGGCGGATGGGTGGGACGGGGCGGGGAGGATGCGCGCGCAGCGGGCTTCATGAGGGCCTTTTTGGCGTGAAGGAAGGGGCCAAGAAGAGCTGGCCGAAGCAGACCGAGAGCCCTGGAGTGCCTTCGGGAACGGATGGGAGGGCCCGGCGCCGTCTCCAGGTAAGCCAGACAGGGAAGCAGCTAAAGCGGTATCGAACTGGGTTAATTCCACAGTGTAGATGCACTTTTGGTTGCAAAGATAGGCACCACAGAAGACTCAAGGCCAAGCCAAGACTCCAAATCCCAAGAGCCCATAGCATTCAGCCATCTCACTTAAAGTGGTATCAATCTGGGTTAATTCCACAGTGTAGATGCACCTTTGGTTGCAAAGAGAAGCACCACAGAAGATCCAAGGCCAAGCAAAGACTCCCAAGTCCCAAGATCCCATAGCATTCAACCATCTCACTTAAAGTGGCATCAATATGGGTTAATTCCACAGTGTAGATGCACCCATATTCCATTTTAGAGAACTTTAGTGATCCAGGCTGCATACGAAGATGAATGAAATCAGTGCCAAAGGCCCACAGTTGTAGAGAACTACGGCCCCTTCCACACTGCCATATAAAATCCAGGTTATTTTCTTTTGAGTTGGATTATCTGGCAGTGTAGACTCATATAATCCAGTTTAAATAAGAATATCTGGATTATCTGTTTGATAATATGGGTTATGGTATATAGCAATGTAGATCCAGCCAAAGGGAGGCCAAGATATCAAGTTTCCTACAGTGCTGTCTTTGCAGCCTAAAATGACAACAGCCTTGAGCCTTTGTTGGAATTGTGCTGCAAACCAGTATTGTTGTTTTTTTTACCTGGGAGGAAAGTTTTGTTCAACTCATGCCCCTTCTACACTGCCATATAATCCAGGTTATCAAAGCAGATAATACAAATTATCTGTTTTGAATTTGATTATATGGCAGTGTAGACTCATATAAATTCAGTTCAAAGCAGATAATATTGATTTTCTGCTTTGATAATCCATATTATTTGGCTGTGTACAAGGGACCTTAGTTCAAATGTTTGAGGATGGGGTTTCTCTTCGGCCCCCTCTACACTGCCATATAACCCAGGTTATCACATCATATAATCCACATTATCTGCTTTGAACTGGATTATATGAGAGTCCTTTTACACAGCCATATAACCCAAAATATCAAGGCAGATAATCCACAATATCTGAACTAGGTTGTCTGAGTCCACACTGCCATATAATCCAGTTCAGTGTGGATTTTATACAGCTGTGTGGAAGAGGCCTGAGTCCACACTGCCATATAATCCAGTTCGGTGTGGATTTTATACAGCTGTGTGGAAGAGGCCTGAGTTCACACTGCCATATAATCCAATTCAGTGTGGATTTTATACAGCTGTGTAGAAGAGGCCTGAGTTCACACTGCCATATAATCCAGTTCAGTGTGGATTTTATACAGCTGTGTGGAAGAGGCCTGAGTCCACACTGCCGTATAATCCAGTTCAGTGTGGATTTTATACAGCTGTGTAGAAGAGACCTGAGTTCACACTGCCATATAATTCAGTTCAGTGTGGGTTTTATACAGCTGTGTGGAAGAGGCCTGAGTCTACACTGCCATATAATTCAGTTCAAAACATTTTATATGGCGGTGTAGAAGGGATCTCATTGCAACATGTTACCCTTTGACATTGGGTTCACCACTTTGAGAACACCCTGTGTATTTTTCCACTGCTGTATTTCTTCAAATGCAAGACACCATCGGTTGAAAAATGCACCCACATTCCAGGAGCACCACCAAAAATACAAAAGATACACTTGTGATTCTAAGACATGCTCCATATTTAGAAATTATTACATAGGGAGAAGCGTGTCTTAGAACAGAAGAAATTCAGCAGTATCGACTGTTCTTCTTGGTTTGAGGAATGTGTCACAAAATTGTAAGACGTGTGAAAAATGAGAGATTACCATATACTGGTTTTTCAAAATCAGTCTAAACCAGAACACGGTAATCAAACTGATGGCATCTTGCATTTGAAGAAATACAGCAGTGGAAAAATACACAGGGTGCTTCGAAGTGGTGGACCCAATGTCAAAGCAGCGTGTTTGATGATGGTAACATGTTGCACAAAAAGCTACGAACAGTTTTATGAGTTTCACTAACTGTTTTGAGCCAGAAACAAATCTGAAAAAGGACTCTGCAAATGGAGAAGGCCCCATAAAGCCTTATGTTAGGGGTCGCCATCTTGTGAAGGACTGAGACTCGGGGCTGTTTGTGTGCTGGGAGAGGCATCTAGTGGCAATAGTTTACAATTTTTATAATTTAACATTATAATAATTTTAATCTCTCTGGCCCACATTTTCAACAGGTAAGAGTTTCATTTACGGGCAGAGATAGAGCACTTTCAAATTAGTTTAGCTGTATTATTGAGAAGTGTTGATATGAAACTTGGCCATATACAATGGCAGTTTCAAAGAGGGAGAGTTCTTATTAGCAAAGCAGTAAAACTATTAGTTTATGATGCAGGTTAGGTTCAAAACTAGTCTCAGTCGACTCATTGACATCAATGGGAAGTTAATAGTGACTAAACGCTGAGTATGAGGGAGCCCCCGGTGGCGCAGTTGGTTAAATTGCTGAGCTGCTGAACTTGCTGACCAAAAGTTTGGTGGTTCGAATCTGGGGAGTGGGGTGAGCTCCCGCTGTTAGGCTCAGCTTCTGCCAGCCTATCAGTTTGAAAACATGCAAATGTGAGTAGACCAATAGGTAACCTTGGCAGGAAGGTAACAGCCCTCCATGCAGTCATGCTGGCCACATGACCTAGGAGGTGCCTACAGACAACGCCGGCTCTTCGGCTTAGAAATGGAGATGAGCACTGCCCCCCAAAGTTGAACATGACTTAATGTCAAGGGGAAACCTTTACCTTATGACTATTATCAGGGTCTATCTTGGAATTGGTATGAAGAGAAGCTGAGGTGACATGGAATTTATTTCTCTTCGAGAGTCACAATCTATTCTTTTACATTAGAGTGGCATCAAATCAAGCTGTTTGCAGCATATTTGGGTTAAAGCCGGGCCTTTTAAATTGGATCGCTCTTTTTGAAACACCCTTTATTACAAAAATGATAGGAAAAGCTGGTTGCAAGCATTCAGATTATTTAAATGTGTAAATTGTGGAAAGTTGCACATGTATCCTGAGATGGGTCAATGTGCCGTTGGGGGGGAAAGGTGTTGAAGAAAACCAATACTGACATATTGGTCTGTTGTTAGTTATAGGCAACTTTTTAACACCCCACCAGAAAATGCTGTTAATTCTAGCTAGCAAACATTAATTTTTGGAAACTGAAATCTATCCTACATTGTGTCCTGAACGCAGGTTACCTCTGGTGCATATATTTATTTATTTGTTTGTTTGTTTAAAAGTTTTATATACTGGCCTTCTCACCTCTCTTGAGGGACTTTATTTGGCCCTCCCAAAGGCTTACACCTATTTTGCCCTTCCAACTCAAGCCCAGTTTCCAGCATCTCATGACAGTGAAGGTGAACGAGTAGTGTTGATCTGACAGCTGCAGCCAGTGCCATTGGGCCTCTTCCTCCTCTCCTGTTGTTCAATGTGGAGCTGACGAGTTATTAATAAGCTCAGACCAGAAGCAAAGACTTATTAAATATTTTACTGTTACTTGATCCATCTCTGGAGAGTTTGAAGGAGCTCCAGGTTGGGCAGAACTCTCTTCTTGCCTGCAAAAGGAGGCATGGACCATATCTGTTTTCTAATTAGAAGTGCAGGAGTGATTTGTGCAGGATTCTGCATTTGAGTCGCCACCTTATTAAGGTATGGGTTGAAAGACTGAAAGCTGGTCATCTTGCAAGTGCAGATCATCTGTCGGGGTTTATTCTTCTACTAGCTTGGGTACCCGAAGTTGCCTGGATTATTTGAAAAAGTCATTTTTTTCAAATAATCTAGCATGAAATTGTACACAATGCATAATTGTAAGAATTATTTATTTACGGTCAGTGACCAGCACCAAGAAATGTACAAACGTCAGAATAAGAACATATCCATTTAGGCATTAAGAAACAATGTCAAAAACAAAGTTAGAACCCAGTATTGCATGTGATAGTTAAAACAGTATTAAACATTTGTGTGCTAAAATGACAATGGTAAAAACTGGAGTAAATATTAAAGGCTTCTAAGAGTGTGACAGCATCTTGTGATGACAAGCTATTGCTGCTGCACAAAAGCTAGCAACTTTAGCAGTAACTTTGGGGTGTTGGTCAGCCAAAAGATAATCAACATAAAACCTTACAGATCTCCCTGATAAACTTTCAAAAATCTCTATAAATAAAAATGTAATGTTCGTTTGTGGGATTAACATAACTCAAAAACCACTGGACGAATTGACACCAAATCTGGACACAATATACCTAACAACCCAATGTATGTCCTTCACTCAAAAAAATTGATTTTGTCATTTGGGAGTTGTAGTTGTTGGGATTTATAGTTCACCTACAATCAAAGAACATTCTGAACCCCACCAACAATGGAATTGAACCAAACTTGGCACACAGTTCTCCCATGACCAACAGAAAATACTGGCAGGGTTTGGTGGGCAGTGTCCTTTGGTTTTGGAGTTGTAGTTCACCTACATCCAGAGATCACCGTGGACTCAAACAATGATGGATCTGGACCAAACTCTACATGAATACTCATGCCCAAATGTACACACTGGTGGAGTTTGGGGAAAATAGAATCTTGACATTTGGGAGTTGTAGTTGGGATTTGTAGTTCACCTGCAATCACAGAGCATTCTGAGCCACAGCAACACGTAGCAGGGGACGGCTAGTAGGATTTATAAAATGTTTACGAAGGTGTCAGTGAAAAGAGCTGTACAACAAAAATGCATAATGGTCAGGACTCACCTATCTTCATGATTGCATCTTCCCCTACAAACCAATATGCACTCTAAGATCATCTTCTCTTGCTTTTGCCACCATTTCAAACATGGTTGGTGGGGATGAGGGAAAGAGCCTTCTCTGTGGTGGCCCATCGGCTCTGGAACTCTCTCCCAAAGGAGATCAGACAGGTCCCCACTCTGCTCATTTTCGGCAAGGAATTAAAAACTTGGTTGTTCCGCTGTGCATTTGGCTAGGCAGTTCACTAGAGAATTTTTCCAACCCTACCTAGCTTCCGCATTTTGATTGGTCCCTTCCTTGCACTTTTGATATATTAATGGTTAAGGGCACTATCCTTCAAGCCAAGCCCTATGTCTCTCACACTTTCCCATGGCTCTATGAAGGAATTATTGCACATAGAAATTATGAACCCAAGCCCGGCATTTGATGCACAGCCTTCATATGGTAATTACGATGTTTGATTATGATGTTTTCTAAATTTTTAATTAAGTTTTGTTTGTTGTTTGTATTTACTGGGCTTGTTTTTAATCTGTATTTCTGGGGTTGTTCCTTTGTAAGATCGAGTCCCTTCAGGGAGATGGAGGCGGCATATAAAAATAAAGTTATTATTATATTATTATAAGATTGTGGATTAATAACCTTATAATAATATAATATGCCAGATTAACCTCGAGAAACCATCAGTATTTAAAGTTTGTCATGTTGTCAATTTTGCTCTAGAGGCATCATCTGTGGGGATCAGTGTGCTCTCTGGCTGTGGGGTAAACTACAACTTCCACTATGATGGTGAAGCAGTCCCCTCAAACCCTTCCAGTAGGTTGAGTTAGTCATGGCGGCTTTGTGTGCCAAGTTTGGTCCAGGTCCATCATCAGTGGAGGCCACCGTTTCTCTGGTTGTGGGTAAACTACAACTCCCAGAAAGGAAGGTCAGTTCCCCTAAACCCCTCCAGGAATCAAATTTTGGCATATCAGGTATGTGTGCCAAGTTTGGTCCAGATCCATGAGTGTTTAGGTTCACAGTGCTCTCTGGATGTAGGTTAACTACATCTCCCCAAATCAAGGTGAATTTTATCCAAAGACCTCCAGTATTTTTTCTGGTCATGGGAACTCTGTGTGCGAAGTGTGGTCCAGTTCCGCCTTTGGTGGAGTTCAGAGTGTTCGTTGATTACAGGTGAACTATAAATCCCAGTACCTACAACTCCAAAATATCCAGGCCAATTCCCCTCAAAACCCACCAGTATTCAAATTTGGGCATAGCAGATATGCATGCCAAATTTGGTCCAGATCCATCATTGTTTGTGTTCACAGTGCGTTCTGGATGTAGGTAAACCAGAACTCCCCCAAATCAAGGGGAATTTTCCCCCAAAGACCTCATCATTATTACATTTATTGTTACTGTGCATTATTTTGTATTATTTCTTATGTTGATTGTATTTTCCTGTCTTTGTATGTAAACTGCCCCAAGTGCCTTTCGGGAGAGAGGGTGGTATAGAAATAAAGTTTCAGCAGCTTCTTCCCCCTCCTCCTCCTCTTCTTCCTCTCTATTTATTATTATTATTATTGCATTTATTATTTTACTCTATTATTATTGTTATTACATTTCCATTATTTTCTTTATTATTATTATTGCATGTATTATTTTACTCTATTATTACTGTTATTATTACATTTCCATTATTTTACTTTCTTTATTATTATTGGAAGGATACCTTTAACTTGAAGGACACCTTTACCTTAACGAAGGTTAGAATAATGGTTTGATCAGAGTTGGACAGTCTTATCTTAAATAAATATTCAAAAACATTTAACCTCCTGATGCCTCAAATATTGTAATTAATTGGTATCTCTTTTTATTTTGAAATTGACCAGTAGCTCCTGCATTTCCTGTCCTCAGCTTATACTCAATACGTTTTTCCAGCTTTTTTGTGGTAAAATTGGGTGCCTCGGCTTATATTTGGGTCAGCTTATACTCGAATGTATACGGTACTTATTCCATCCCAGGAGAACATTAAGGAAATAACTAGTCTTTCTGCTTTTGGCCTTTTTTGAGTGTCTGGGTGAAGAAAGATGGCAGAAGAATGGTTGCCCTGAGATATCATTAGTGCTTTCCCCTCTCTGCTAATAACCCTTAACATTGTTTGGCGAGTGGGCTTATTAACAAAAGACACTCCTCATAAAAATACAGCAGAGTAACTTATTAACAGCAGCTTGACCCAGCATCATTAGCCCAAAGTGATAAAAAGAACAAAAGCACACAGACCAATGTTATCTTCTCCATAGGAGGCTTTTCTTTATAGCAAAATAATATGGTTGTACTATTTACAAGAACTAGGTTTCCATAGCGCGAGCAAAGTTCTTTATACTTCCTTCTTTGCTTCCACGCTGGGCTTCTTTTGCAGTTAAACAGATTCGCTCTTACAGAGCCTCTTCTCACACCAAACTCAGTAGCTTTGCACATTACGTTTTTACACACAGCAGCCTTCAGACTGGAGCTTCATTCACAATGGCCTTATTTATTTATTAATTTATTTATTTCAAAGGTTTATATACCGACCTTCTCACCTCTTTGAGGGACTCAGACCGGTTTCCAGCCATAAAAACACATACAATCAGTAAAACATCATAGTTCATATTACAATAACATATTAAAACAACAAATATATTTAAAACTACAGTGGTCAGTCGTCATACTAAAATCAATTATACATCATCTTCTATCCAAATCTTAGGGTGTTGCCTCATTCATCGAAGCCTGTCTCCATAACCACGTCTTCACCTGTTTCCTAAATATCAGGATAGAAGGGGCGGTTTTGACCTCCGGTGGGAGAGAGTTCCAGAGTCGTGGGGCCACCACCGAGAAGGCCCTGTCCCTCGTCCCCACCAGACACGCTTGTGAGGCCGGTGGGATCGAGAGCAGGGCCTCTCCAGACGATCTTAATAATCTTGATGGTTCAAAGAATACGTTTGGAGAGGTAAACAGGGCCGGAGTCGTTTAGGGCTTTATAGGTTAACACCAGCACTTTGAATTGTGCTCGGAAGCTAATTGGCAGCCAGTGGAGCTGGTGTAACAGCGGAGTGGTGTGCTCCCTGTACCCAGCACCCATTAGTAGTCTGGCTGCCGAGCGCTGGACTTGCTGCAGCTTCCGGGCAGTCTTCAGAGGCAACCCCACGTAGAGAGCGTTGCAGTAATCTAAGCGGGATGTAACCAAAGCGTGGACTACCGTGGCCAAGTCAGACTTCCCAAGACTTCAACCTAGGACTTCTCTTACCGAAGCTTGTCACACCAGGCCTACTAACGCTGAGGCCTACCTCACACTGAGGCCTTTCTCCTAGTGAGGCCCTCTCACACAGAGACCTCTCACAGACTGATGCCTCTCAAAATGAGATGAACTAACACTGAGGCCTTCTCGTACTGAGGCCTACTAACACACTGTGGCCCTTCATCCACAGAGACCTCACATGGACTGAAGGCTACTAAACTTCAGACACAACTGCTTATATAGAACTATAAGAAGCTATATAGAAGCTTTTGCTTAGTCATTGTATCTATTTAACCCATTCAGTGCTTGACTCACATTTTTGTAATTAAAAATACCTAGTTAATTTTTGATATTTCTAACAAACATAACAAAGTTGATATCAAAATCCAGAATTTTGGTCACAAAAGCACCCTTGACCTATGAATGAATCTAACACAGGCATGGGCAGACTTCGGCCTTCCAGGTGTTTTGTGTGAAAGGCTGCAGACCTCAATAATAATAATAATAATAAACTTTATTTATATCCCGCCACCATCTCCCCAATGGGGACTCGGAGCGGCTTACATGGGGCCAAGCCCGAACAAGAATTACAATATAACAATACAAATTGCAATAAAATAAACAACATAACAATTGCTGTTCTAATGTTCTGCTCTGATCCCTTCCTTGGCTAGGACTCCATCTTGTTGGTGAAGCTTGGCAGGAATGTTCCACCCACTCCAGTGGAGGCCTCCCTCCGGCATTTATTCCTACTACGTTAACTCATCCCGCCTCATCAGCTACGAAGTGAAGCGGAGCTTGTGGCCGAGCGAGAAAGCCTTGAAGGGCCGGTACCTGTGGCTGCTCACCTGGCTGCAAAAAGCCACTGAGCAATGTCCGAGGCAGAAGAGCCTCCTCTCCCTCCTGGCCAACCAGTGCAGTTATGTGACTGGTCAGCGGGTCCGGCGCGCCCAGCAGATTGGACAGCTGTACAGTAACATCTACTCGGAGAGGACGCGCCGGAGCCTCTTCAGCTCTCTGTGGCGCAAGTTCCAGGGGCGACACGCCAATGCCTGCAAACTGATGGCAGCCCTCACTGGTGTGTTCCTGTGGGAAGAAGAAAGGATCAAGGAAGAGGAATTGAAAAGGTAGGTCTCTGGAAACAGGAGTTAGATGTAGAGATTGGACTGTTTTGAGTTCTCTTGCTGTTGTGTTGGATGTATATTTGGAAAAAAAAATCTATAAATCATCCTGAACTTGGGCAGAGGTGTCTAGGAATATTTAAAATTAGTATTTAGAACTCATACTAACTCATTGTTGGCCTCCAATCAAGGAATAAAAGCATTGTCATATGTTTTCAACTCACTTTGCTTTCAGGAGTGCTAGAAACACTATTGGTGTCAGAGCTAATCTCCCTGGGCTATCTATTTTTAACCTTAGTAACTGATCCCATAAATGTTGACTTACTTGACTCTGGATGAGTTGGAAAGAGGATTTAGAAGCAATTAAGTGTCCGTTAAGTACTTTGGCCACATCATGAGAAGAAATGAAAGCTTAGAGAAGACGATTATGCTGGGGAAAATGGAAGGAAAAAGGAAGAGGGGCTGACCAAGGGCAAGATGGATGGATGGTATCCTTGAAGTGACTGGATTGACCTTGAAGGAGCTGGGGGTGGTGACGACCAACAGGGAGCTCTGGCGTGTGCTGGTCCATGAAGTCACGAAGGGTCGGAAATGACTGAACAAACGAACAACAAACAAATAGTCCGTTTATTTTTAATTTTCCTTACAAATCCCAATTTCTCACGCGCACCCTATGTGTAATGTAAACAAAAGTATTTTTAGTTAGTACTACTGATTGTGGCTTTTGTTGAGTGAGTGGGCTTATTAACAAAAGACCTTCTTCATATTTGCACAACAGAGTAACTTATTTGCAGCAGTGTGACCTGGCACCAGTAGCCACAAGTGATAAAAGAACAAAAACACACAATGTTATCTCTTCCACAGGAGGCTTTTCTCTATAGCAAAATAATACGATTGCACTGTCTGCAACAGGGGTCCTCAAAACTTTTTAAACAGAGGACCAGGTCACAGTTCTCCAAACTGTTGGAGGGCCGGATTATAATTTGAAAAAGTATGAATGAATTCCGATGCACACTGCACATATCTTATTTGTAGTGCAAAAAACACTTAAAACAATACAATAATTAAAGTGAAGAACAATTTTAACAAATACAGACTGATAAGTAATTCAGTGGGAAGTGTGAGCCTGCTTTTGGCTGATGAGATAGGATTGTTGTTGTTGTGTGCTTTCAAGTTGTTTCAGACTTAGGCTGACCCTGAGGGCCAGGTAAATGACCTTGGAGGGCTGTATCTGGCCCTTGGGCCTTAGTTTGAGAACTAGGTTTCCATAACACAAATAAACAAATACATAGTAGCGTTACACGCAGCAGCCTTCACATTGGATCTTTCTCACACGAGGCTTCTTTCAAACAGAGGTTTACCTCACACTCCTCAGGACGACACTAGCTTTGGCCCACTAACTCTAACAGGCTTCGGCCTACTTATGTTTCTGTGCTGGACTCACATTTTTGTAATTAAAAATACCTAGTTAATTTTTAAATATTTTGACAGCTTTTGTGTAGTAGTTGCTTCTGTTGTACCCGCATAAAAAAGAAATAATAATAATATAATAATACTTTATTTATATTCCGCCCTTCTCACTCCGAAGGGGACTCAGGGCGGATCACAAGTACACATACACGGCAACCATTCAGTGCCATTTGTATAGACCAGTGATGGACAAGCTTTTGCAGTTGGTGTGTCAAAATTCACCAAAAACCTGAGCATAACTTGGGTGGAGTGTCACTTCAAGAAAAAAAAATGCAATATTTATAATTTAAATAAGAAAAATGTATAATCCATGCTGAGTTATAGAGTGAACAATGTTCAAATGTGCAGATGTTAAATTTGTAGAACCTTTTACAAATTTAAGGATGGAATTAGTTTGGCTCTTATAAGGTGTATTTCTCTGTGTCTGAGTGTCGTCAAAAATAGCCATGCGTGTCAGTGGTGACACGAGTGTCATAGGTTCACCATCACGGGTATAGACAGTACACAGACAGAACAGAAAGAGGTGTTGTTTCGATGCCATGGATGGTTAGGCTCGAGTCCAGAGGGGTGCTGTCGCTCCATTCTCTATGATGAAGAGCTGTCAGGACTTCCTCATTCCAGCATTTCTTCATCTTCTTTTTCTTTATGGCGTTGTTAAACACCTCCCCCACTTTAGCGGTACCTAATTTCTCTAATTACAGCTAAAGATTTTCGATCTGCTTAGGTAAACAGTGAGCAGGGCTGACAGTCGGCTGCTTATGCCGACCCGGGGCTTTGAACTTGCAACCTTTCGGTTGATAGTTGCTGATGATTTACCAGCTGTGCTAAACCTCCAGCCCTAAAGTAAAACACTTGTCAGGTGATTATGTGTGATTCAATACGACAAGGCCTGCCAGTACTCCATATTCATCTTTTAAAACTGTTGATGTGACACATCCAAGGATTTTTCAGGATGCCTGAAACGCCTGTGCAACTATTTGGAATAGGGTAGTGGAAGATGGTACCTTGTTAAATCACATTTGCATTCCTGTAACATGCCAATATAGGGCTGCCCTTAAAGCAGGAATGGGCAGTGGATAGGCCTCTGGATACTGGGCTGCAAGGAGCATATAGTGTTCACTTCTGCTTTGAATTCATTCTGTTGGCCTTAATACACTCCATGATTTCTCAGCTTTATTTCCCCCTCTTTAACACGAAGGATTAACACCAATGACTTAAGCTTGCAGGTTTGCACCGTTGCATACTTGGAAAGACTGTCAATGTTTAGGAATAGAATTGCAATTGGGACCTGCAACTCAGCGTCATTTATTTATCATGTCAGAAGCGAGTTGACGGTACAGTTAAAATGCATTTAGAAACACAAAGTTGGCATTATGCTAAATGTCTTTTGCCCAGAAGCTGGCTAGAAATGCTATTGGTGTCAGGGCTAATCTCTCTGGGCTATGGAGTGCCTCTGGTCGCTGTGAGAAGGTCCTCCATTGGCAGGGCTCAAATTGCATTGTAGTAAGTGTTCTGTCGTTTACTCTTCTCTGCACTGGCATGTCAAGGACTCCACTTTGTAGCCCTATTTCTTAAGGTTAGCTCTGCATCTTGTGATTCCAGAGCGCAGTCTGTTCAGCACCTTCCATGTCACCCAGCCTTCTGTGTGTCCAGGGGGGAGTTTCTCATCTGGTCTCAGCTGCTGATTGAGGTGCTGGGTTTTAGCCTGCCACTTTTGGACCTTTGCTTGCTGAGATGTTCTGCAAGTATTCTGCAGATCTTAAGAAGCTGTTTCTTGATTTAAGGTGTTGGCGTGGTGGCTGATATCTGGACAGAGGATGGGTCCTTTCATTATTTATTTATTTATTCATGACATTTATATGCCACCCTTCTCACCCCGAAGGGGACTCAGAGTGACTTACAAGTAAAAAGTAAATACAATAGATTATATTATTACCATAGCACAATATTAATACTATATATTACATTGTACTATAACATTATACTGTAATATTATTAGAAATATTACATTTAATATAAAATATATAATTATAATATCATATTATTATTATATTGTATTACATTATAGTATTATCAATATTATATGTATATACAATATATTATATTATATTATATTATATTATATTATATTATATTATATTATAAGCACAGTGCATTGTTGGCTGCTACTTCCTGATGGATGTCAGGTGGTGCGATACCTGCTAAACAGTGTAATTTCTCCAGTGGTGTGGGGCGTAGGCATCATATGATTATACGGCATGTCTCATTAAGAGCCACATCCACTGTTTTATCATGCTTGCTAATTCAATGTTTAGTATTTACACAAATGAGCAGTCACTGCCAGAAGGGACAGAGAGTTTCATCTACGCTGATGATTGTGCCATCACCGCCCAAGCATGGAGCTTTCAAATGGTTGAACAGAAGCTCTCACGAGCTTTAGGTGCTCTTACTGCCTATAATGGAAAACCAGCTGATTCCTAATCTATCTAAAAGGCAGACTTGTGCTTTTAATCTTAATAACAGGCAAGCATCTCATGCTCTGAGGATGACCTGGGAAGGAATCCCACTGGAGCATTGCAGCACACCCAAATGCTTGGGAGTCACTCTGGACCATGCTTTGATTTACAAGAAACACTGCTTGACTATCAAGCAAAAAGTGGGTGCTAGAAATAATATCGTATGAAAGCTGACTGGCACAACTTGGGGATCACAACCTGACACAGTGAAGACATCTGTCCTTGCACTTTGCTACTCTGCTGCTGAGTACACATGCCCAGTGTGGAAAACTCAGTGTTGCAAATGGCACACTGTTATTCAGAGTACTAGCCTACTGTGTCCAGTTCCATTTAACCCCCCTTCCTCTCTTGTTTCCATCTCTCTGATTCAGTTATGAATAAGCAAGTGGAAGATTCCATCCCCCCCCCCTCCATTTGCCCAGACCTCTTCTCGTCTTGCCCATTGCTACTGTAATGCTTTATAGTGATAGGATGTTATCTTTAATGCTAGATATTTATGCATTTGGGGAAGGAATACGCTAGTCAGTCTAAGATTAGGATGAAAAAGGTTTACCCCCATGTAGGAGTAAGCCATGGTTATGGTTTGGAAATCCATACTCTTCCTGAGAGACCAGGCTAGCAGAGCAGAGAGTATCAACATTGTTTTCCTTGCAGAGCATTTGAAGATTTGTGTGCTATATGACACAGGGAGGAAATTATGCATCTCATAAGCCTCATTTGCTTCAGGGAGAGGGTTTTTCTTTGTGCAGTCTACAAACCCCCCCCCCCCCCTTTTGAGTGGACACTGGAAGTGATTGTGAGGTGGAGGTGAGTGGGGAGTCTGTGTATATATAGAGCTGTAGGCAGATGACTGCACAGCTTCAAAGGCTTAGGTTTCCTGCTTTAATTACCTCATTTGTATGAATCAGAATCCTAGAATTAGAAAAGACCTTGTGGACCATTCAGACCAACTCCTTTCTGCCAAGAAGCAGGAAAATCGCATTCAAAGCACCCCCAACAGATGGCCGTCCAGTCTCTGCTTAAAAGCCTCCAAAGAAGGAGCCTCCACCACACGCCGGGGCAGAGAGAGAGTTTCACTGCTGAACAGCTTTTTCTCACAGTTAGAAAGTTCTTCCTCATGTTCAGAAGGAATCTCCTTTCTTTCTGGTAGTTTGAAGCCATTTTTCCAATGTGTCCTGGTCTCCAGGGCAGCAGAAAGGAAGCCTCCTCCCTATGATTTTCCCTTCTATCTTGATCCTTGGCCCTCATCGTGTCTCCTCTCAGCCTTCTCTTCTTCAGGCTAAGCATGCCCATCTCTTTCAGCCACTCCTCATTGGGCTTGTTCTCCAGACCTTTGATCCTTTGAGTCTCCCTCTTCCTCTGGACATATTCCAGCTTAGAGTCAACATCTCCCTTCCATTGTGGTGCCCAGAGTGAGACACAGTGTGATTCCAGGTGTGGTCTGACCAAGGCAGAATAGATAAGAGCAGTGGTTCTCAACCTGGGGTCCCCAGATGTTTTTGGCCTTCAACTCCCAAAAATCCTAACAACTGGTAAACTGGCTGGGATATCTGGGAGTTGTAGGCCAAAAACATCTGGGGACCTCAGGTTGAGAAACACTGAATTAGAGGGGTAGCATGACTTCCCTGGATCTAAGCATTATGCAGGCCAAAATCCCATTGGCCTTTTTTGCCGCTACATTACATTCCTGGCTCCTGTTCCCCTTCCTCCCCACGAGGACTCCAGGATCTTTTCCACTTATCCTGTTGTCGAGCCAGGCCTTGTTCCCCATTCTCTCTCTTTGCATTTCATTTTTTTCTGCCTAAGGGGAGTCTTGCATTTGAAATTCTATTGAACTTCAGTGTGTTAGTTTTGGCCCATCATCTCTCTAATCTGTGAAGATCGTTTTGAATTCTGCTCCTGGCTTCTGGGGTATTGGCTCTCCCTCCCCATTTGGTCCTGTCTACAAACTTGATGATTGTGCCTTCTGACCCTTCATCTAAGTAATTCATCAACATCCAGAAATGGAGCCACAAAGTGGAATCCACGACATGCGAGTGTGGAGAAGAGCAAACCACTGACCACCTGCTGCAATGCACCCTGAGCCCTGCCACATGCACAATGGAGGACCTTCTTGCAGCAACACCATAGAATCATAGAATCAAAGAGTTGGAAGAGACCTCATGGGCCATCCAGTCCAACCCCCTGCCAAGAAGCAGGAATATTGAATTCAAATCACCCCTGACAAATGGCCATCCAGCCTCTGCTTAAAAGCTTCCAAAGAAGGAGCCTCCACCACACTCCGGGGCAGAGAGTTCCACTGCTGAACGGCTCTCACAGTCAGGAAGTTCTTCCTAATGTTCAGATGGAATCTCCTTTCTTGTAGTTTGAAGCCATTGTTCCGTGTCCTAGTCTCCAGGGAAGCAGAAAACAAGCTTGCTCCCTCCTCCCTGTGGCTTCCTCTCACATATTTATACATGGCTATCATATCCCTCTCAGCCTTCTCTTCTTCAGGCTAAACATGCCCAGTTCCCTAAGCCGCTCCTCATAGGGCTTGTTCTCTAGACACATTCCAGCTTGTCAATATGTCTCTTGAATTGTGGTGCTCAGAACTGGACACAATATTCCAGATGTGGTCTAACCAAAGCAGAATAGAGGGGTAGCATTACTTCCTTAGATCTAGACACTATGCTCCTATTGATGCAGGCCAAAATCCCATTGGCCTTTTTTACCGCCACATCACATTGTTGGCTCATGTTTAACTTGTTGTCCATGAGGACTCCAAGATCTTTTTCACATGTACTGCTCTCGAGCCAGGCGTCACCCATTCTGTATCTTTGCATTTCATTTTTTCTGCCAAAGTGGAGTATCTTGCACCAGAAGCACTCCAAGTGGCCAGATACTGGTCAAAGGACATTTAACCAACTACCAAACTCACAAGTTTTGTATTTTGTCTGTTTGTTTGCTTTGTTCTGTTAGAAATGTAATATAATGGACTGGTTGCTCTGACACGACAAATAAATCAACATCCAGAGCAGAACCAGGCCCAGGATGGAACCCTGCTGATGGCACTCCACTTGTCACTCCTTTCCAGGATGAAGAGGAAGCACTGGGGAGAAACACCCTCTGGGTTTGTTCGCTTAACCAATTACAGATCTATCTCACCATACTTTTGCCTACCTTGGACTAATTTCCTTGCCAGAAGGTCATGGGGGACCTTGTAGAAGGAAGGCATCCCATCCTTCCATCCACTCACAGCATTCCCCGCATCTACCCAACTTGTAACTATTGAAAAAAGAGAACAGATGAGTCTGGCAGGACTTGTTTTGATGAATCTGTGTTGACTATTAGTGATGATTGCATTGCTGTCTTAACTGTTTGCAGACCACTTCTTTAACAATCTTTTCCAGAATCTTGCCTGGTATCGACGTGAGGCTGACTAGACATTGGCCGTTGTTTGGGTCGTCCTTTTTTCCCTTCTTGAAGATAGATAGGGACCATATTTGCCCTCCTCCAATCTACTGGGACTTCTCCAATTCTCCAAGAACTCTAAAAGATGTTTGCCAGTGGTTTCAATATAACTTCCACTAGTTCCTTCAATACTCGGATGTAGTTGATCTGGTGCTGGGGACTTGAATTTGTTTAGAGTGGCCAGGTATTGCTGGAAAGGAAATACATCACTGTATACAGAAACAAATTGTAGTGGATCTCGAGTACAAAGGCAGCTTTTTCTCTTCTTATTTTCTACCTGGCATGGTCAGACTCATGGAATAATAATAATATTTTATTTATACCCCGCTACCATCTCCCCAAGGGACTCGGTGCGGCTTACATGAGGCCAAGCCCGCAGTACATCAATAAACAACAACAACAAAAAACAACAATACAATACAATTAATATAAATCACATCAACAAAATAAACATTAAACAGTAACACACAAACATTTAAAAACCTATGGCCGGGCCAAAGGTAATAGTTAAAATTTAAAAAATAATGCTGGGCATGAACAAGGCAGGATATAACTGGTGTAGGGTTTTCAAAGAGAGATGAGGGAACACAGTCATTCCTAAATCAGTGGTAAAGTGCATTTTGAGGGCATACTGGTAAGAGTTTTCCTTATTCTGGAAAGGCACACTGGAACAACCACGTTTTCAGGCTGCTCCTAAAGACTGCCAGAGTTCGGGCATGTCTGATGTCTTTGGGAAGTGAGTTCCAGAGTCGGGGGGCCATCACCGAGAAGGCCCTCTCCCTCATCCCCACCAATCACGCCTGCGATAGAGGTGGAAGCGAGAGCAGGGCCTCTCCAGATGATCAAAGAGATCATGTGGGTTTGTACACATAAATGCGGTTACGCGGATAGGCGGGTCCCAAACCGTTCAGGACTTCGTAGGTAAGAACCTGCACCTTGAATTGGGACCAGAAAATGAACGGCAGCCAGTGGAGCTCCTTAAACAGGAGGGTTGACCACTCTCTGTAAGAAGCACCAGTTAGTAACCTGGCTGCCGCCCGTTGTACCAATCGAAATTTCCGGGCTGTTTTCAAGGGCAGCCCCACGTAGAGTGCATCACAGTAATCCAATCTGGAGGTGACTAAAGCATGGACCACCCTGGCCAGATCCGACTTCATGAGGTACGGTCGCAGCTGACACACGAGTCTTAATTGTGTGAAAGCCCTCCTGGCCACCGCTGACGCCTGAGTTTCAAGCGTATGTGATGAGTCCAGGAGGACACCCAGACTGCGGACCTGTGACTTCAGGGGGAGTGCAACCCCGTCCAGTACAGGTTGCCACCCTATACCCCGATCCGGCTTACGATCGACCACGAGGACCTCTGCCTTGTTCCTCCTCATCCATTGGAGTGGGCCCAGGGACCACGGAGTCATTAAGGCTCTCCAGCTACAGCATCTCCATTCTAGAGACATCCAGCCTCTTGACACCTCTCTAGGCCATTAGTTCCCATTGCAAAAGCTTCTGCTTCTGTCTAAGTTTCACTGCGCTGGACCCTTTGGGAGCAAAGAAGTCTCCCATAAAACCTGTCCAGATAAGTTCACCTCATGGTGAGCCAACCTAAACCGATCTTTTTCCCCCCTCAAGGTCTGCTGAAGAGATGAAGCGCATGGAAGAAATCAACCACCTCCTCCAAGACAACCAAGGGGAGAACCAGCCGCAGGAGCCGACCCCCAGCAAGGATATGGCTTCTGATCTGGAGGAGCAGAACTGGGAAATGGTGATGGACAAGAAGCACTTCAAGCTGTGGAGACGTCCAGTTGAGGGCAGCCATCTCTACCAGTACAGAGGTACTCTCCCCATTCCCCCTTTTAAGATTACTAAGTCTCTTTGATTAGTATTTTCAAAGCAAGGAGGTGGAGGTGGCCTACATTCCCAAACAGGGGACATATTTGCTATATTCATAGATCCAGGAGAACCCTCTTAGTTAGGGAAAGCTACTCTAAAATATAGCAGGGAATATAATATAATATAATATAATATAATATAATATAATATAATATAATATAATAATAAGTATGGCCTGTGGTACTTTATTACAATAATAATAATAATAATAATAATAATAATAATAATAATAGAATTATTGAAGGCTTTCATGACCAAATCACAACCTCTGAGGATGCCTGCCATATAGATGCAGGCGAAACGTCAGGAGAGAATGCTTCTAGAACATGGCCATACAGCCCGAAAAACCTACAACAGCCCAATAATAATAATTTATTTGTAACCCGCCTTCTCTCCCAAAGGGGACTCAGGGCAGTTTCCAACAGCATAACAAAACTACCCTAAAATAAAGCAGACCATCCAAAAATCAAACAGGATACAAAAGTAGAGCATCAGCTCATTAGCAAGCAAAGCATGATGTGCCTTGTGAAATGGCTGCAAAGAATTCAGAGCTTGGGAGGCAAACATGCAGAGTCCAATCTTAAAAAAACACAAAAGGTTTGTTCACAATAATAAGAAATAACTGCATTTCTTAATAATCAAGAACTGGGTCTGAGCTACTCTAATACCCATCTCTTCTGAGGTTTCAAAAGAGGGAAAAACCTCAGCTACTACATCTCTCCTGACACACAAGCAGAGAGAGACCTCAAAGCACACAATATATACTCTCTATACTGAAATGTAAAAAGACTGAAGTCATGACTTCCTTTCCTGGTATGTGAGGAACCATGAAAGTAGGTCATGCCTTGGCCTGTAGCACACCTGAAGCAATGGAGAGCTGACCAGGACAGAGGGTCTCCATGAAATGGTTCTGGCCCAACTTATCTGTCCAAAGGCATCTCCCCTTATGATTGTCTCCCCTTTAAGATTGTCTGGAGAGGCCCTGCTCTCGGTCCCACCATCGTCAAAAGCACAGCTGGTGGGGCCGAGACACAGGGCCTTCTCAATGGTGCCCCCTCGGCTATGGAACGCCCTTCCTAGGGAGATGGGATCGGCTTCTTTGCTTCTAGCATTTCGGAAAAAAACTCAAGACATGGCTATTCGAGCAAGCATTTGCAAATACTGAGTAACAGACCTAAGAAACGGAACAACTACTCGATGGGACTGGACAATGTTTTAATGAGTATTTATTGAATCATGTTTTATTGTCACTGTTTATGATTTTATTGATTATAATGTATTTGTGTTTTTGTAGCATTGAATTTTGCCTTGTAAACCGCCTCGAGTCACCGGAAGGCTGAGAGGGGTGGTATACAAATATAGTAAATAAGGTTTTAAAGTTATAATAATTGTACTGTTTTATTTGCTTGCTGTTTTGTTTTTACTGATGTGTTGTTGGGCTTGGCCTCATGTAATCCGCCCTGAGTCCCCTTGGGGAGATGGCGGGGTATAAATAAATAATTATTATACTTATATAATAATAATAATAATAATAATAATATAAAATGGGGAGGGCCAAGGGTGAGGGATATGAGGAAGGGTGAAAGAAATTCTGGACTCTAGACGTCATTATAAAAAGACTCCGTACTTAATTAGATGGAACTTTGTTTGTAACCGTACTGTATGCTTTGAGAAACAAAAGCCTTCCAGTCTGCCTGTGAAGTCATTTCGTCTCTAGCGAACTACAGAGCAGGACAGAAAAATTCAATCACTACATCTCTCCTGACATCCAAGCAGAGAGAGATCTCAAAGCACACAGCACATACTCTCCATACTAGAAGTGTAAGAAGGCAGAAGGCAGATTCAAAAAGCTTACAGTAGAAAAATATCCATTCTAAACAACCAATCAGAATGAGAGCAGAAACAGAGAGGAGAGAAGAAATTAGATGCATTCCCAACTGTCATTCTGGAAACACGAGGGAAGGGAAACCCTTAGTTTATAGTAAGCTAACTAAACAGTTCCTCATTGAGAACTTGCAACTTGGGCAGTGTGGGGTTGAATTCCAACCATTTCTTGTTCACCTCATGTTTCAAAAAAGGGCCTCTCTTGTACCTAAGTTGGCTGAAAGTGATCAAAATTCCCCATTGACATTTGAGGGCCAAACCAAAATGACCCAAGGGCCACAGAAAAGGTCCTAGTGGCCATTTTGCCCATATGGAGAAAGCAAAGCTGTTGGTTTAAACAAGGCATGGACGAAGAGTGGTTGAAGGGGACTGGTATTTCCTTGCATGTAACCTCATCTTAGTGCAGCCTTGCTTTGAGAAAACAATTTGTCGTCATATTTGCCTCTTTTTCTTTTTCCTTTTTGCAGTCTTTGGGACATACACAGATATAACTCCAAGGCAGTTTTTCAATGTTCAGGTGAGTGTTGGTGCTCTTCGCCTTCTTCCTCTCAGGAAGAATGATTTTTGGGAATTAAACAGAATTGGAATATCTGGTTCCTCCGATATTCTGGGAGCTCCTGGATTTCACTTGTTCTTCCTGTGCTTTTCAGATGTCTGTTAAAAGGGTTTCTTCTTGAGTAGTTTTTCAGATTCAAATCTGAAAGTGGGAGCAACAGCCCTGGTGGCAGGAGTTCATGGTACTCACTTGGGATATATCTTGGCACAGGATTTCTGTTTATTTTCATTATGCAACCAAATCCTATGATTCCAGTTATGGTGACCTCCAACCATTATTGTATGGTTGGGGGTCACCACAACATGAGGAACTGAGATAAGGGGTCACAACATTAGGAAGGCTGAGAAACACTGTTGTAGTGCTTCACACCTCATTTTCTGTGCCTTCAGACATTGCTGGCCATTATATCTCCTCTTTCAAACAGATGCCCCAGTCTCCTGAGAGCTCTGCATGGTGTACCTTCCAAATTCCAGTCTCCTTTTTCATTTAAGTCTGTTTGTTTATTTATTTATTTATTTATTTATTTATTTATTTATTTATTTATTGTGTTAGGAGCGAACCAAAACAGTTGTATTGCATTAAAAAAAACAGACAAATAAACAAACAAACAAAACACAAAATTTGCAGATTTGGTATTCTATTACATGTCCTTTGACCAGTAGCTGGCCACTTGGAGTGCCTCTGGTGTTGCTGCAAGAAGGTCCTCCATTGTGTATGTAGCAGGGCTCAGGTTGCATTGCAGCAGGTAATCAGTGGTTTGCTCTTCTCCACACTCGCATGTCGTGGATTCCACTGTGTAATTCCATTTCTTAAGGTTGTCTCTGTAGCTCGTGGTGCCAGAGCACAGTTTGTTCAGTGCCTTCCAAGTCGCCCAGTCTTCTGTGTGCCCGGGGGGAGTCTCTCATTTGGTATCAGCCATTGGTTGAGGTTCTGGGTTTGAGCCTGCCATTTTTGGACTCTCGCTTGCTGAGGTGTTCCAGCGAGTGTCTCTGTAGATCAGTGGCTCTCAACCTGGGGTCCCCAGATGTTTTTGGCCTACAACTCCTAGAAATCCCTGCCAGTTTACCAGCTGTTAGGATTTCTGGGAGTTGTAGGCCAAAAACATCTGGGGACCCCAGGTTGAGAAGCACTGCTGTAGATGTTAGAAAACTATTTCTAGATTTAAGTCGTTGATGTGCTGGCTGATACCCAAACGGGATGAGCTGGAGATGTCCTTGCCTTGGTCCTTCCACTATTGGCTGCTACTTCCCAGTTTGTGCTTTGGCAAGGGGACGACATATCTCAGCTTCTCTAATTAAGCTTTTGTGATTCCCTGTCTTCTAGCTGGATACCGAATATCGAAAGAAGTGGGACTCGCTGGTCATTAAACTGGAAGTCATTGAGAGAGATCAAGACACTGGATCAGAGGTTGTTCACTGGGTAACTCACTTTCCGGTGAGTGCATTTTGTCTAGTTCTTGTCGGATGTTCTAGTAATATTCCATCAGTGAGTGTATTGCTCTAGTTCAAAGTCATAACTATTCTTCTTTTTGTCTCCCCTCCCCCCCAACAACCTGCAGTACCCCATGTACTCACGGGACTACGTATATGTCCGCCGGTACAATGTGGACAGGGACAACAACCTTATGGTTCTAGTCTCACGGTAAGTAATCCTGTTACAAGGGAATAATGAATATGTTGTGGTTGAAATACATATAAATGCACATAAAACCTGGGTATCTCTAAAATCGTTGTTTGTGTAACTCTGCCCCCAGTAAGCTTTACTTCTCAGACCAAATATTGGAGAGATGGAAGGATGGCAAGGGAATGAACATTGCTAACTGCTGGTGCAGAGTTTTTATATAACACTAGCTTGGGTAACACTATTTTATGAATGCAGCCATTAGAAAATGCTCGTTTTAATGAATGTTCCCACTAGAAACAGGGCCGGCCCTAGGTAATTTTCAATGGTAAGCAAACATTATTTTGGCGCCCCCTCCCCCCAACCAATCACTGAAAAATAAAACGTAGAAGGTAGAGGTGAATAAAAGAGTTACCTTACAAACCAGAAATTTACTTACAACATTATGTTTATATAGTTACATTACACAAATTAACTTTTTTAAGAATGCAAATATTTTACTAAACTTAGCAACAATTTTAAGTTTTTGTTGTTATTTTTGGTCTACAAGTACTACACAAAGGTTTCCTGGTCATGCTGTCTCTTCAGAGAAGATTTTTCAGACTAGGGGTTTGCTAATAACAGAGAACTCAATCCCATGCTTGTTGGGTCTGTCAATCAGATTTGTTTTGGAGAACGCAGCCCCAGGAGAATAGACACCTCCTTTTTAAGAAAGTGAACTCTTGTCCTTCAAAAGTGCCATGCCAGCCTGGACCATTACAATGGGTGTGGCAACGTAGTCAGCCTCTGGCCCCTTCACTTTAGTGGATACTTTGACATCCAGTTTTCCTTAACACAAATAAACTTGAACACTTTTAAAATTAAAAAGAGATTTTTCTGGCTTTCAATTTTGAAAACTCGTGTACTATTATATCTGTTTCCATTTCATCCAACAAGCCATTTTCAATGGCCAAGGTTGCTAGTCCACTCAAGCGCTCTTGACTCAAAGTTGATCTTAAATACGTTTTTATAAGTTTTCTAAGATCTACAGAGACACTCGCTGGAACACCTCAGCAAGCGAGAGTCCAAAAGTGGCAGGCTCAAACCCAGCACCTCAGCCCATGGCTGATACCAAATGAGAGACTCCCCCCTGGGCACACAGAGGACTGGGCGACTTGGAAATAGAAAGGAATCACACAGGATCATATTTTTGCAGTCCATTAAGTGTGTTGATGACAAATCAGATAAAGGAATACTGGGGAAATTAATATAAAGCAGTGTGTATAAAGGGACATTACATTTGGTAATCTAATGCAGGCTTTAAAAGGTTTTAAAGATCAAGTCCGGGTCTGCTGCAGTTTTTAGTTTTGGATATGTTTTTTATGGATTTTAACTGAATTTTTAAAATACCAATGATATTTAATTCCATTTTAATGTTTGCATATTTGTGGATTTTAGACTGTACTGAAATGTTTTTAATCTAAGCCAACTTGAGTCTTCTTGGGGAGAGAAAAAGCAGGGTATAAATAAACATACTAATGTGTTGTGGAAGGCTTTCATGGCCAGAATCACTGAGTTGCTGTGAGTTTTCTGGGCTGTATGGCCATGTTCCAGAAGCATTCTCTCCTGACATTTTCCCCACATCTATGGCAGGCAACCTCAGAGGAACAAAATCTGGCTACCAGTACCCTCTAAAATAACCCTCTAAAATCAGAACAATAAATAAAGAGCAACACTAAAAAAGGGGGAATTCCTGACATGAAGCAATCAGGGCCAGTTAACCGCTCCCAACAAAGGATTCCTGGGCAGCAACTAGCTCGGCTTCGAAGCTGCAAGGCCATTAAATACTCATCAAGATGACCAATTGCAACATTCACACTTACCTCAAGCAGACATGAGTTCTTTTTCCCACCCTGGACATTCCACAGATATACAAACCCCACTTGCCTAGTTACAAACAGACCTCACAGCCTCTTGAGGATGCCTGCCATAGATGTGGGTGAAACATCAGGTGAGAATGCTTCACCAAGCACCAAAGAGCATTCTGAACTCCACCAATAATAGAACTGAACCAAACTTGGCATACAGGACTTCCATGACTAACAGAAAATACTGGAGAGGGGGTTGGGAAAAATAGACCCTGACATTTGGGAATTGCAGTTTACCAAGCACCAAAGGACATTCTGAGCTCCACCAACAATAGAATTGAACCAAACTTGGCATACAGGACTTCCATGACTAACAGAAAATACTGGAGAGGGGGTTGGGAAAAATAGACCCTGACATTTGGGAATTGCAGTTTACCAAGCACCAAAGAACATTCTGAGCTCCACCAACAATAGAATTGAACCAAACTTGGCATACAGGACTTCCATGACTAACAGAAAATACTGGAGAGGGGGTTGGGAAAAATAGACCCTGACATTTGGGAATTGCAGTTTACCAAGCACCAAAGAGCATTCTGAGCTCCACCAACAATAGAACTGAACCAAACTTGGCATACAGGACTTCCATGACTAACAGAAAATACTGGAGAGGGGGTTGGGAAAAAGAGACCCTGACATTTGGGAATTGCAGTTTACCAAGCACCAAAGGAACATTCTGAGCTCCACCAACAATAGAATTGAACCAAACTTGGCATACAGGACTTCCATGACTAACAGAAAATACTGGAGGGGGGGTTGGGAAAAATAGACCCTGACATTTGGGAATTGCAGTTTACCAAGCACCAAAGAACATTCTGAGCTCCACCAACAATAGAATTGAACAAACTTGGCATACAGGACTTCCATGACTAACAGAAAATACTGGAGAGGGGGTTGGGAAAAATAGACCCTGACATTTGGGAATTGCAGTTTACCAAGCACCAAAGAACATTCTGAGCTCCACCAACAATAGAATTGAACCAAACTTGCCATACAGGACTTCCATGACTAACAGAAAATACTGGAGAGGGGGTTGGGAAAAATAGACCCTGACATTTGGGAATTGCAGTTTACCAAGCACCAAAGACATTCTGAGCTCCACCAACAATAGAATTGAACCAAACTTGGCATACAGGACTTCCATGACTAACAGAAAATACTGGAGAGGGGGTTGGGAAAAATAGACCCTGACATTTGGGAATTGCAGTTTACCAAGCACCAAAGGACATTCTGAGCTCCACCAACAATAGAATTGAACCAAACTTGGCATACAGGACTTCCATGACTAACAAAAAATACTGGAGAGGGGGTTGGGAAAAATAGACCCTGACATTTGGGAATTGCAGTTTACCAAGCACCAAAGGACATTCTGAGCTCCACCAACAATAGAATTGAACCAAACTTGGCATACAGGACTTCCATGACTAACAGAAAATACTGGAGAGGGGGTTGGGAAAAATAGACCGTGACATTTGGGAATTGCAGTTTACCAAGCACCAAAGGACATTCTGAGCTCCACCAACAATAGAATTGAACCAAACTTGGCATACAGGACTTCCATGACTAACAGAAAATACTGGAGAGGGGGTTGGGAAAAATAGACCCTGACATTTGGGAATTGCAGTTTACCAAGCACCAAAGGACATTCTGAGCTCCACCAACAATAGAATTGAACCAAACTTGGCATACAGGACTTCCATGACTAACAGAAAATACTGGAGAGGGGGTTGGGAAAAATAGACCCTGACATTTGGGAATTGCAGTTTACCAAGCACCAAAGGACATTCTGAGCTCCACCAACAATAGAATTGAACCAAACTTGGCATACAGGACTTCCATGACTAACAGAAAATACTGGAGAGGGGGTTGGGAAAAATAGACCCTGACATTTGGGAATTGCAGTTTACCAAGCACCAAAGGACATTCTGAGCTCCCCCAACAATAGAATTGAACCAAACTTGGCATACAGGACTTCCATGACTAACAGAAAATACTGGAGAGGGGGTTGGGAAAAATAGACCCTGACATTTGGGAATTGCAGTTTACCAAGCACCAAAGAACATTCTGAGCTCCACCAACAATAGAATTGAACCAAACTTGGCATACAGGACTTCCATGACTAACAGAAAATACTGGAGAGGGTGTTGGGAAAAATAGACCCTGACATTTGGGAATTGCAGTTTACCAAGCACCAAAGGACATTCTGAGCTCCACCAACAATAGAATTGAACCAAACTTGGCATATAGGACTTCCATTACCAAATACTAGAGAGGTTTGGGGGAGGCATGTACAAAAGATGACATTTGCAGTACCTTTTGACGAGGCCTCCTTGCTGCCCTGAGAGGGGTCCAGGCTCAGCTGCAGGGAAGGGAAAGCGAAAGCGAAAGAGCCTGGCTGGCTGCCTCCCTCCTGGCAGCACGTGGAGGGAGGACTTCCCTCTCGCCTAGTGGGCGGGGCCTGCGCTTCTCCATTAGAAGGCTGTTGAGGGCGCATGGGGCCTGCAGGAGGAGGCGTGGCCTAAGGACAGAACAGCGCCCCCTGGCAAAAAAAGTATTCCGCCACCGCTTACTTCGAGTAATGGACGGGCCGGCCCTGACTAGAAACTACATAACGATGTGGGTGAACTACAATTCCCAGAATTGTGGGTCAATCCTCCCCAAACCAGGTCTGTATGCACAATTGGCCATGTTGGGTTTGTGTCCAGATCCAATGTTGGCTGGATTCAGGCTCCTCTGGATGCAGGTGAACTATAACTCGCAAAATGAAGGTCAATTCCCACAAACGTTTGCAGCATGGGATTTCTATGTGCCAAATTTGGTCCCGGTCCACTATCACTGCGGGTCAGTTTTTCTGGAAGCTGGTGAACCACAACTCCCAGATTCCCAGGGCAATTACCCCCAAACTCCGCCTGTGTTCACAGTTGGACATGTTGGGTCTGTGTGCCATATTTGGTTCAGATCCGTTATTCAGTGGGTTCAAAGTGTTTTTTTATGCAAGGTGAACTATAACTCCCACATATGTGGATTAGTCCCCCCACAGCCACCTCCAGTATGTTCTGTTGGTCACCAGTGTGTTCAAAGTGTAGTCCAGATTAATCATTGATGGGGTTCAGAGTGCTGTGGGTGCAGGATGAACTATAACTTCCAAGCAGGTGGGTCAGTTCCACAAACCTCTCCAGTTGTTACGTCGGTCATATGGGTTTTGTTTCCCAAATGTGGTCCAGGCTTGTCATTCATGAGGGTCGCAGTAGTCCCTGGATGTGGATGAAGGTACTGCAAATCCCATCATTTGTGGTCCATCCTTCCCCAAACCACACCAGGACGTAAAGTGGGTCATGGAGGGGGTCTGTATGGCAAGTTTGGTCCAGGTCCGTCATTTGTGGGGTTTGCAGTGGTCTATGGGAGCCAAATCAAATGCAAATCCAATAATCAGTGGCAAGTATGGTCCAGATCCATCATTGGTTGGGTTTACAGTGCTCTCTGGATGTAGGTGAACTACAACTCCAAAACTCAAGGTCAATGTCTACCAAACCCTTCCAGTTTGGTTTGGTGTTTGGAGCAAGGTGACTCTACTCTGAGCTGCGACAGCCACACACTTAAACATTCCTATAGATCAGACATGGGCAAACTTCAGCCCTCCAGGTGTTTTGGATTTCAGCTCCCACAATTCCTAACAGCCAGAAAATCCAAAACACCCGGAGAGCCTGTTATAGATTCTTCCACCTGGTTTTCAGGCTTCTCCTGCTGTTTCAATGGGTTGCAGAGCATGGCTGACTTGGGCTGCCACTGCAATGCTGTCTGCAGGGAGACTTGGCGGTGAATTATTGCGACTCGCATGTCCCCTTCTCCTTTTTCTTTCCAGAGCGGTAGAGCATCCCGGTGTCCCAGAAGATCCTGAATTTGTCCGTGTCCACAACTATGAATCCCAGATGGTCATCCGTCCGCACAAGTCATTTGACGAGGTGAGTTCAGGGAACCTGTTGTGTGTGAGAGACATTATGTCATTATGGTCAGAAGGGTGAGAGGGAGAGCAGGGACCTCAGCCTTGTAGGGGTAGGGGTAGGGTTAGGCCCTGGCATGGATGGACTAACGTCGTTTCTCTTCTCAGAATGGCTTTGACTACCTGCTCACCTACAGCGACAACCCTCAAACTGTGTTCCCTCGGTACTGTGTCAACTGGATGGTCTCCAGTGGTGAGTCATGGGGTGAATGGTTTGTTTTGGTTTGCTGTGGTAGGAATTGCAAGTAGGTTGATAGAAATGATAAGCACCATTTGAGCTTGGATGCTAAGAGTTAGCACCAGCGATTACTCAGATGGGGAACTGCCAATAAATACCAGGGTCTTTAGACTATATTTGAATAATAATAATAATAATAATAATAATAATAATAATAATAATAACAACTTTATTTGTACCCCACTACCATCTCCCCAAGGGACTCGGTGCGGCTTACATGAGGCCAAGCCCACAGTACGTGATAATGTCTCATTAAGAGCCACATCCACTGTTTTAGTGTGGGATGAAGCATTCCCAGAATAATTGGTTGAGACCAGCAATATTTATTTATTTATTTATTTATTTAGCAGTTTTGTATACCTCCGTTCGAGGGACTTGGGCCGGTTTCCAACATCAATATTACAGACAGTCATCATATTCTAAATCACACTAAAACATTAAAATAGCAAAATACGATAATATAATTACAGTGGTCAGTCGTCATCAAAAATCATTATTCGTCGTCATCCATCCATGTCACAGGATCATGGCTCATTCGTCGAATGCCAATCCCCAAAGCCAAGTTTTCACCTGTTTCCTGAACGTTAAGATAGAAGGGGCAGTTCTGATCTCCAGTGGAAGGGAGTTCCAGAGTCGAGGGGCCACTACCGAGAAGGCCCTGTCTCTCGTCCCCACCAGCCGCGTCTGTGAGGCCGGTGGGATCGAGAGCAGGGCCCCTCCAGACGATCTTAGCAATCTTGATGGTTCATAGGGGAGGATACGTTCGGACAGGTAAATTGGGTCGGAGTCGTTTAGGGATTTATAGGTTAAGACCAGCACTTTGAATTGTGCTCGGAAGCTGACTGGCAGCCAGTGGAGCTGGCGCAACAGAGGAGTAGTATGCTCCCTGTACCCCGCTCCCGTTAGTAGTCTGGCTGCTGCACGTTGGACTAATTGAAGCTTCCAGGCAGTCTTCAGAGGCAACCCCACGTAGAGAGCGTTGCAGTAATCTAAACGGGATGTAACCAATAATCGAATAGTTACTGACCACATTTGCAGGCTGAGTTGAACTTGATTCTATCTTGGCGATTTAGTTTATATGTATTTATTCTGTCTGTATTTTAACTTATTGTGATTTTATGATGTTTTTAGATGTATTCGTGCATTGAATTTCTGCTGTTAGCTGGTCTGAGTCTCTCTACAGAGGTAGAGAAGATCGGGATATAAAAGTTTTAAATAAATAATAGTAATAAATAAAGTTTTATTATTGTTGTTATTATTCTCTTCCCAGGGATGCCAGACTTCTTGGACAAGCTGCACACGGCCGCCCTGAAGGCCAAGAACATGGAGATTGCTGTGAGGGACTATATCTCCTCCACTAAGCCCATCGAGTGTGGCACCAGCGAGGGGAAGGCCAGCATGCCCGACCAGGAGCCCAAACGGGACGGGGCATGTACCCCCATTCAGCTAGACTTTGTTTAAAGTGGAGGCTCGACTCCTTGGAGGTGGCATCCGAAGACGCTTGGCCCCTGGGCTTTTCCTAGGAAGAACAAAAGACCACGAAAGGAAGGCCTTGCGGACCGTCGCTCAGCCGGTCTCCGCCTGACTCTGCTCCATTCCCTCTCGCCCCATGCCGCTCCCTTCTCTGGTGCCATCTTGGAAAGGGGCCTCCGTTAGTCATTCAGATACAGGCTCAGCAATGTTGAAAAGCACGTTTCCACAGCCACTCTTGTGCCGGTGAGCTTCTTTTCGGATGGGGATGTGCTGGAGAGAGATTTCATATTCAAGAAAGGGAGGGGGAATTATTCTCCCTGCACCGCCATGATGCTCACCGTGATCAATGCCTTTTGTGGGGAGGGGGGGGGCACCCTTGCAAAACTGTCAGCCTTCCACCTTTTGTAGATGTTGTGGCTTATGGGGGCCTCTGCCATGCTCACGGTCATGGCTTTTGAGTGAAGCTAGTCGAAAAGAGGCTCATTTCTAGGGCCGGTTCTTGTTTCTACATCGCCCGCACGATCCCCATCCTTTGGGGAAGAGGGCCAGGCATGTGAATCCCATGTGCTCTGCTTAGGCCAGGACTTTTATCTGCTGCCAACGTGCCTTGTTTTCCTTTGGGCACTATTCAAACCAGTGGAAGGTGGCACCAGGCCTAATGGGGGCTCCTGGGCATAAATATCCCTCTTCTGGCTCTGTGTGTTCCTCTCTGGAAAGAAAACCTTATTCTTGGTTCTCTTCCTCCTTGGATGGGTGGTACTCAACTATCGTGAGTTTATCATACCAGCACCTGTGTGGGGTTATTTGACTCTGTAGTTGTAAACCGGTGGCAAAATGTACAACTGCCTTAGTGTCTTAGAAGGGGAAAAGCCTTATGTGTGGCGCTGTAAAGTAGCTCCCTATCTTTACTTTCCGATCAGTCCAGCCACCCTTGTGGCCACTGTTGGCTGTGCTTCTGGCTAGTCTTTCCAGAGAGCACTGGAATACTGTAGTTTACACGTTACAGGTTCAGATTCCCCATTAACGTGATTGTGCAATGAGGTTCAGAAGGTATTGAAACACGGAAAAGGAAACAAAGCTGAACAACCAAACTGCTGGATCTTAGGGCTGCACAACGGTCAGCCTGCATTCATCCCAGACATTTTTGGGTTTAGGCTGCTGTGAGTTTTTCGAGTTGTCTGGTCATGTTCCAGAAGCATTCTCTCCTGACGCGCCTGTATCTGTGGCAGGCATCCCCAGAGGTTGTGAGGTTTCTTGGAAACTAGGAAAATTGGGTTTATATATCTGTGGAATGATGTCCAGGGTGGGAGAACTCTTGTCTGTTTGTGATTGGTGTGAATGTTTCAATTGGCCACCTTGATTAGCATTTAATGGCCTAGCAGTTTCAAGATTTGGCTTCTTACTGCCTGGGGGAATCCTTTGTTGTGAGATGATTAGCTGGCCCTGATTGTTTCTTGCCCATATTTCCCAGTTTTGGATGATGTTCTTTATTTACTGTTAGGATTTTAGAGTTTCTTAATACTGCCTGGCAGTAAGAAGCCAGACCTTGAAACTGTTAAGCCATTAAATGCTAATCAAGGTACCCAATTTAAACATTTATTTATTTATTTGGTTTACTTCTACCCTGCCCTTCTCACCCCGAAGGGGACTCAGGGCGGCTTACAAAAACAAGGCACAATTCGATGCCCGTATCATACAACAGTAAAAAAACAAAATAGCATAGATTAGCAATCAAACCACAGTTATACATTACATCTATAAACCGAAAAAACCAATAAGACCAATAAAAATCCATACAAACCAATACAAACCAATTACTCCTTATTGCTGGTTAGCGTTCGCTATCTCATAGTTCAAATTCCAATCCCACAATTGTCAGTCCTGTCAGTCTATTCATCTGGTTGTCGTTATCTAGTTAGCAGATTGCCCGAAGGCCTGGTCCCACAACCACGTCTTTACCTTCCTCCTGCAGGAAAGGAGGGACGTCGATGTCCTAATTTCCCCCAGGAGTGAGTTCCACAGGTGAGGGGCCACCACTGAGAAGGCCCTGCTCCTCGTCCCCACCAGCTTCACTTGGGATAGCGGTGGGGTCGAGAGCAGGGCCCCCTCAGATGATCTCAAATTCCGAGGTGGGACGTAGAGGGAGATACGTTCGGACAGATACACTGGACCGGAACCGTACAGGGTTTTGTAGGTCAAAACCAGCACCTTGAATTGAGCTCGGAACTGAACCGGCAGCCAGTGGAGCTGACACAGAAGAGGGGTGGTGTGCTCCCTGTATGTCGCTCCGGTGAGCGACATACAGGCACTTGCCTCCAACAGACAAGAGTTCTTTCTCCTACCCTGGACATTATTCCACAGATATATTAACCCCATTTTCCTAGTTTCCAACAGACCTCACAACCTCTGAGGATGCCTGTCATAGATGCAGGCGAAACGTCAGGAGAGAATGCTTCTGGGATATGGCCAAACAGCCTGGAAAACGCACAAAAACCCAGTGATTCCGGCCATGAAAGTCTTCGACAATACACTTTTGGGTTTCTTTATTGCCTTGGGTTGCTTTCCTTCCACAGAAACTAGTGAGGTTTAGCTTGCTATCTCTGGAGGTGGTCCCTCCAATTGGGAGGGGAGAGGAATCATTCCAGACATACCTGCGATAGAAGCACACTGCCTTTGAGTGCATCCTATGGGGAGCAGAGGATGGACCTGTATTCCTTTTCCAAGTGACGATGTGCGCCATAAACCATTGGTTTGAATCAAGCTGCTGCTGGGAGATTTCCCATTAGCCACACTGTCTGCTGGCAACAGAAATCCGAACAAACCTTAAGCAAAGTGTCTGAATATCTTTGGGAGGGAAGCCGCTTCTGTGCCAGTAAACAAGGAGGTGGCTCTTTCCACCTTTTTTCCGTGTGTTTAAGCATGTGATTTTCTTTTTGGGAGCAGAAAGTATGACGGGCCAGTGCTAAAACAAGGAAGCTCTACTTCCCACCTTGGTAACGGGTTCAGGGTACGTTACGCTTGGGTTTGGGAATAGAGTGGAGTTGTGTGTGGGACCCTTTTGGGTCTGTTTTTGTGGCCGGTGCAGGCCTGTGACTACAACTACTGATGCTTTTAACATTTTTTTTTATTATGAGAACCGAATAACCAATAAAGGTAACAACTGTTACAGCTGGCTTTTGGATCCTTCCTTTTGAGGATGTCGTCTTGGGAATTAAGGCTTTTCTTTTATTTATTTATTACGACATTTTTATCTCACCCTTCTCACTCCGAAGGGGACTCAGCGGCTTACAAGTGATATGTAAATATAATAATAATAATAATAATAATAATAATAATAATAATAATCCTTTATTTATACCCCACTAACATCTCCCGAAGGACTCGTTGCGGCTTACAAGAGGCCGAGGCCCAACACATCAATAAAACAACAGCATAACAAATACAACAATAAATAAACTCATAAAAAAAGCAATAAATATTAAAACAATAGCAATATATTATATTATCAGCATAGCACAATATTAGTAACATACATTCCCATATTGGACTACACCACTATACTGTAATATTAGCAATATTACATATAATATGAAATATATAATTATTATATTGAATTATTATTAGTATTATATTGTATTACATTTTAATATCAATATTATATGTTTATACAATATATTATCACAGTACAATTTTGTAGTATATGTTACTATATTGTACTATACCACTATACTGTAATATTAGTAATATTATATGCAATATGAAATATATAATTATCATTTTGGATTATTATTAGTATTATATTACATTATAATATTATCAATATTATATGTGTATACAATATATCATTACAGCACAATATTGTAGCATATATTACTATATTGTACTATACCACTATACTGTAATATTATTAGTAATATTATATGCAATATGAAATATATAATTATTATTTTGGATAATTATTAATATTACATTGTATTACATTATAATATTATCAGTATTATATGTGTATACAATATATTATTACAATATTATAGTATATATTACTATATTGTACTATATCACTATACTGTAATATTAGTAATATTATATGCAATATGAAATATATAATTATTATTTTGGATTATTATTAGTATTATATTGTATTACATTATAATATTATTATCAATATTATATGTGTATATTTATTAGCACAGCACAATATTAATATTTGTTGTTCATTTGTTCAGTCGTTTCCGACTCTTCATGACCTCATGGACCAGCCCACGCCATTGCTCCCTTTCGGCCATCACCACCCCCAGCTCCTTCCAGGTCAATCCAGTCACTTCAAGGATACCATCCATCCACCTTGTCCTTGGTCGACCCCTCTTCCTTTTTCCTTCCTTTTTCCCCAGCATCATTGTCTTCTCTAAGCTTTCCTTTCTCCTCATGATGTGGCCAAAGTACTTCATCTTTGCCTCTACTATCCTTCCCTCCAATGAGCAGTTGGGCTTTATTTCCTGAAGTATGGACTGGTTGGATCTTCTGGTGGTCCAAGGCGCACTCAGCACTTTTCTCCAACACCACAGTTCAAAAGCATCAATCTATTATATATTGCTATTATATATTACTATATTGTACTATACCCCTATATGGTAATATTAGTAGTAATAGTACATGTAATATAAAATATTTAATTCTTGTATTGTATTATTATTAGTATTGTATTACATTATAATATTATTAATATGTATATACGATATATTATTAGCACAGCACATCAGTAATATATTAATGCTATAATATATTAATATATAAGCCTTAAAGTACCAGTTTGAATAGCAGTAAAAGTGCAACAGCTTTTGATCTGCGACCTTTTGCTCCAAAATCTTCTGATTAAAGATCTCTAGAATCCATAGATTGGTAATATTTAAAAATACGTGCAAGGTGAAGGCACCCGCCAACTCCGAAAGTAGCCCAATCCCATGGACCAATCTTCCTAAGTCATCATCAAAGATGGCGGGTGCTGGGGGAGCCACAATGGAGAGTGGTTCTGAATGCAGCCAGCGGCGATGGTACTTTTAGATGGCTTTCCCCCTTCTTCTTGCGACTAGGAGAGCCCCAAATTCATTCCCTGCCTTTATTTGCACTCTAATATACAGTCGTCTATTGGGAAGTTATAGCTTCTTCTTTTTCCAGTTGCAGTTTACCTATGAGTCACCTTGAGGAGAGAAAAAGCGGGGTATAAATAAACATAATAATAATAATTATTATAATAATAATAACAACAACAACAACAACTTTCGAATCCAGACTGGTAAAGTTTTGGAACACAATATACCAGACATCACGATTGTGGAAAAGAAAAAAGTCTGGATTATTGATGTCGCCATTCCAGGTGACAGCCGCATTGAGGAAAAATAACAGGAAAAACTCAGCCGCTATCAAGACCTCAAAATCGGACTGCAAAGACTAGCATAAACCAGTACAGGTGGTCCCAGTGGTCATTGGCGCACTGGTTGTCGTGCCAAAAGATCTCAGCCGGCATTTGGAAACAATAAACACTGACAAAATCACGATCTGTCAACTGCAAAAGGCCACCTGACTTGGATCTGCGCGCATCATTTGAAAATACATCACACAGTCCTAGATGCTTGGGAAGTGTTCCAATTCTGATTTTTTAATTTTTTTTATTGTGTCAGGAGCGACTTGAGAAACTGCAAGTCGCTTCTGGTATGAGAGAAT